GAATTAAAAATTGACATTGACATTATTAAATAAGCTAAAAATAGAATAAAGAACAAGATAAATATTATGGAAAATGCTTCCATCACAAACAAAACGTATGACACAGAATTAGTAAACAATAAAAATTTGACTAGTCTTGGCAAAACAAGAATAACTAAACGGGTTTTATCAATGCTTAATTTATTACTTTTTATGAATTGATTATTTATTTTGAACTGTTAAACATTATATATTAAAATTTTATATAAACACCCAATAAGAAAATAACAACTGATGTAATTACAATTCAATGTCAATAAATATTATGAATAATTAATGAAGAATGAACTGTTTCTTGTTTTATATGAAAAATTATAATTAATGCATAATAGTTATTCTTCCTTTGAAGTTATATCTAAGATAAACATTTTATTGCAAAAACACATTATAATATATTCACCAAAACCACAACTTATCTAGATTTATAAATATAAACTATCTTTATTTATTATAAAACTTCTTTTTTGTAGTTGTTATTATAGTGGATGTCATATTAACTTAATAAAACATTAATACCACAAATTTTCTTATTACCATACTCTCAGTTGGATAGACTTTTAATAAGGTATTATACCTTTTTAGAACCATTGGAACGATTAAGTATTTTGTTAACACTCATAGATAAAGAAAAGATGAATTAACTTAAGAATATGATAAAAATTGATGCAAATGCCATAATTGCAATAAAAAGTAAGAGCATCTTAAGTTTGGTTAACTTCGATGGTTTTTGAGAGAAACGTAGATTTTCAGACTGATCAATGGAACTATATTCTTCCATAGAAATACTTCCATCATTTAGATTAGTGATGACAATTTTAGTCTCTTTGACTGGAGAAACACCAAGCCTTCTTTGTGACTTAAATTGGATTTCTGACTTGCCAGGTTCCCCAAATTGAAGTCTTTTACAAGCACTTTGAATAAGTACCCTTTCTTTTGTGTCTTTTCCAGTTAGTCTTGTTCCTCCATTTCTTTGAACTTCTTCTGTTCTAACCCTTCTTTGGACTTTTGCCTCTTTGTTAAATTCCTCACTTAATGTTTCTTCTCTTGACCACCCTTGTTTTAAATTTTTTTCTCTTAGTGGTGATTTTAAAATTTCTTGTATTTCTTTCAGTATTTCTTCTTCCTCCTTTTCTTTGCTATCTCCCTATTCAGTTAATTCATATTACTTATTAGTGAGTTGAAATTATTTTAAATATTTGATCGAATTGATTTTTCTTTTCAAACTTTGCTTCCTTTTTTCTTTATCTTCATCTCAGGACTTAATCCTTTCATTCTTTCAATACTCTCTTCTAGTCTCTTTTTTTCTGCTCTTAGTTCTTCATTTTCTTTTTGTAGTCTAATTTCTCTTCCTTCAAATTCTTTTTCGATTTTTCTTATTTGTCTTTCTAATTCAACCTTTTCTTTCTGAAGTCCTCTTGTTTTGTCTTCATAAAACTCTTTTTCTATCATTTTTTCTTTCAAATTAATTCCTGAAAACTCTATCTTCCCCCCTTCAATTCTAAATTTCCCGTAATAATTTTCTTCTCTTCTTTCTGCTTTTTCAATTCGTTCCATCGCTTCCATTCGTTCTTTTCTTCTATCCTCTAATTCTTTCATCATTCCTTTTTGTCTTCCAATTGACTCTTTTAATTGTATAGACAAGTCTTCCATCTCTTTAATTTTATTTCTTGTATTAGCTTTAATATCTTTCTTCATCTTCTTCATCTTTCCATATTTCTCTATTGCATCTTCTAACTCTTCAACAACTTCCTCAAAAAAGTCTATCATTTCATCAACCTCTTCCTCCCTTTCAAACATCCTTCCCATTTCTTCCTCTTGTTCATCTTCTGTTTCTTCCCTATCATCCTCTTGTTCATCTTTCCTATTCCATACAATTGTTTTCTTTCCTATCCTTTTCGTGTTATTACTCATCCCTTATCGTTTTTGTTTTTCCTTGTTCTTTTTATTTTTATTTTGTATTTTTTAAAATATCTTTTCTTCTCATATTTTATCTTTATACAACATATAGTTTCTCTTAGTTTTTATTTAGTTAGTTATCAACTTTCATTCTTTTGTGAAAAAAAGAGATTATAAAAGACAAACTTGAACGCTAATAAAACCAATAAATTAATAAACAACAATCAAAGATAATATGGCATTTCTTGCATATTATATTGCTTTTCTAAGTATTGTCGTTGATATGCCTCAAATACTTCGTTTTGTTCTTTTAACTTTTCATTTAAAATCTTTTCATACTCTTCCCTTATTCTACTTTGGTTATTTCTCACTGCTATTAGTGCAATGTTCTGAACTTCCTCAGGGGTGAAAGATGTTTTACCACTCATTCGAATGAGTTCTTCAACTGATACTTCAAGATGGGGAAAAACTGAAGGTCTTTTTAGTGGATAATTATCTGGTTTATTAATACGTTTTCTTTGTGCTTCATCATTTTCTTCTTCAATAAATTGACGTTTAGTAAGGGAAAAAGCCATGAAAA